TAGACCAGCCAACTGACCCTGAAGGGTCCCCTTCATGGCCACCCATCTACAGGAAGTCAAGGCCAAAGTTATGTGTTGCAATGCCCCTCACAACACTCAACCACCAAGATTCTCTACTCACTTTCACAGGTTGCCATGCACAGCAAACGTGGGTAGATGTTTGAATCCGAGAGGAGGTAAACCATACATACAGAACCATCCCTGGGATGTTCTCTCACATTGTAAGGGCCAAACTAAAGTTCCATTTAGGAACTTGGGGTTGTTGAAGACAAAAGACTTGGAAGAGGTCTTGGAATAACGTGGACAATAGGGATTTATAGCTTAATTCTGTGATACATGAACATGGCAGCTCTGTAACCAGTTATTGAAGAAGCTGATAAAATACAGTTATGAAACAAGTGTATAAAGAATGAAGAAATTTGTTGAGGAGGTGGAGATAAATTAAATACAAAATGTCTGAAGCACCAACTCCAAATAACAGCCTAATGAGACTGATAAACAGCCAGAGAAGAGCATTTGTGAGAATGGTCTAACATTCAGACCACCTATGATGAGAATTTGGTTTCTTGGACAAAAAACTGAACAACAATTAGCTGTGAAAAACATACATGTTGAAATGTTGTTGTGAGGAACAGATGTTTGACATTGTTGTAGAAGATTATTCCTCAGTAGTAATGGAACTGGTTCTCGAATAGAATGTTAATGTACTAGGGAAACCACGGTTGAGCAGACCAATGTGAAACAATGAGGACAACCTGGCATTTCGAGTAACAGGTCTTACTCAGGATTCAAAAAATGTGGAGTGGAGAGTATGCATAAATGAAGATATTTCCCAAAGACTGACCTAAGGCATCTTTAACTGGAGACCAGTAGAATTGATGGAAGAAGATGGTTGATGTAACAAAAGTATTGATCATTGAACATCCACAAATCTACTGAAACCCCAAAGGACGAGTGTTCACTTTGTGGGAAGACCCTGGTGTCAGGAAAAGTTTTCATCACACCAAGAATGTGACACACTCAAAGTTGAGCCTTTTGGGAATGAAGCTAAAGAAGTAGAGATACTGCAGAAAATCAAAGGCTGTGAAAACAAATAGCACCCTGATTGTTGATGTAAGACAACATTCCCAAAACAGAAAGGATACCTTTGGCAGTAGGTATGGAAGACAGAAGAATGTAAACATAAGACTCCATGCATTTCTATCTTCTTGTAAAATTATAATATTTAATCTGAATTTATCTTTTATTCTGTGCAAGTGCAGGTTCCACATAATCAAAAAAGATGTTAAGCTGATTTTGTTCCAGCTGCCTTTGTTATTATTGAGGAGATAACACCTGTTTTGTGCTATTGCTGCAATACTGCACATTGTGCAAAGATACTGACAGAAGTGCCTTGCTATAGTTGTTCAGCTGATATTTCACAATTATGGCCTCACTTATGTTTCAATGAGAACAACCAGAAATGTGGATAGTGGTAGATGCTTTTGATAAATATGAGGTTTATTGCAAAATAATAAACTTCAGATATAGTCAGTCTGGTAGAGATTTTCAATAAGTGAGCAGTTTGAGAGAAGATATCAAGAGTCCAGTAAAAGCAACACTCCATCATTCTGTAAAAAAAGTACACATTATGTTTGTGTTAAGTCTGTTTTAATAAACATTCTTCATTTTGTATTTATCTTGTATCCAGAGAGAATTACTCCATTAATTTTCATTATTAAGTTATTTAGCATTACGTCACACAAATATCCTAATCAAACCTTCTGTTATTCTAGGATCCTACCCCCATTGCTCGTAAGTAAATTCAGTTTTACCTGAATATTTCACACCTGCAATGCCATAGGAGATCCAAAATCTTAGATTTGAAATTTTGAATGATCCATCCAAGAGATACAGCTAGTTGGATGATCAAAAAAGTGTGTGTGTGTACGAGTGGAAGAAAAGGTCTGAGTATGCCTATTGTCCATGTAAAACTGAGGGTTGATATCCAGGTAACAAATGTCTTGATAGAAAATATATGGAAGGGAAGATAGTAAAGTAATACACAAAAATGAAGAAAGTAATGTGATGAAGGACAAATTCACTCAATGGCCTTAACTCTCTCAACACACACTCGGTCAATTTGACCCACCATGAGACCTCTTTGTACTTGATTAAAGTCTTTACAGATTTAATACTTATAATTTTCAATATATTGTGTATATCTTCAAAAAATTTGGCAGTCTTTCAGTTAACATTATAAGCCTTTACATACAAAAAATCATATTTTTAGTGAAGTATTTTTAATAAACTAACATAAAGATTTATCCATGAATATATTGAGTATTTGTTTTGAATAATCCGTGTGCAAAGTGATTTTCATGTTAAGGTTAAAATACTTTTATTCACCTCAAAATTCATTTGTATAATCTCTAAAACCTCCTAAATACATTTCAAATGTTTGTTTTCAGTAAAACTTTATATTTTGTCTGTTATGTTCTCTACCCTAACTCTATACAAGGTTGGTCAATTTGACTGATCTTCGTAACCACCAAAAAAAAACCCTAAAAAATCCTTGTTTTTATATTTTAGTTACTTTTATAACAATAAATAAAGAATAAACATGAAAAAGAAGAAATAAAGTACTTACCCAATCTTCTTTTTTCTTACTGTCGATGACACTTAACCCTACCTTTTTTATACTAATGGTAGTAATGCATTAAATAATTTCTATTTAATTAAATAATGCACCAAATAACATAGAATAACAACATGCAAAAGACAGACAATGTCCCCTAACTCTCAAAATTTCTCTGCCTTTCTAACTATGCAACAACATCCGTTACAAATTCATCCAACCTAGTTGTTAACTTTCCCATGGGAATAAACTGTGTATTATGAGTGAAATTGATGCTTACGTGTTCAGAACACATTATACAATATGTCATCTGATAGATGAAAACCTTCGCTTTCTCTTGGTTATAGGTAATATATAATTAAACGTAAGACAAAAACTATTAACAAATCCGGAAAGGGATGATATGACAGGCGGGTGGGGCAAGAGGGGTCTGATTTTCTATTTGATAGCTCTGTAACCAAACAAAATTAAAAGCTATAAAAATTATGGTTTCTCTGAGCAATGACGATTTTATAGTGAGTAAGTTACATTTAACTTCGTACTTTTGCGAGTTGGTGGATAAAATAGCAAAAAAAAAAGGTGCCTAGAGAAAATGGGTCACATGTGTCACACTAGGGAAAATTCTGTTTTTTTTTAATACTCCCTTGTAAAATTAAGAACTTAAAACTTATTTACTATTAATATATGGATAATTAGCTAAGATTTTATGCTATACTAATTGGTATACATAAACAAAAAGTAGTTCAATAAAATTGTGAATGTAAGACACTAAAACCTTGTGTCATGCACAGTAAAGGATACCAGTGGTAACAAAGTTAATACAAAAAGTTCAATAACTTCCCACTTTTCATTTTGAAATGAGGTGTATCTAGGCAAAGACTGAGTTGAGACGGGGGTCAATGACAGGTCTCCAATCTCCTTTTTCTTAAAACTATAGAGACAAGAGAAGACACCTGGGGTGTTTGCTAAAATTCTTTACTGCTCTTTTTGGAATGAGATCAGAAACTTCCCGATCCAGAACTTGAAAGCAAATAGGATTGGAAGAAAGAGGAAAAACATGGAGGATGACAAATGTGAAAGTAAAGAAAGTAAATATAGGATCTGTCAAACCCAAGGATTTGAAAGCCATGTATCCCACAAATGTTCTGGATGGAGGAGAATCAATGAATGGTTCAAAAAGACTCAGCTCACCTGCTATCCTAAAACGTTTAAAAGGTATAAGTAGATGTAGCAGGTGTCAAGTGAAAAGTATATTATGAAGATAATTGAGCATAAACATAACTTGCTTGTTGCCTTGAAGAAGGATGATGACCAGCAGTAAAACTAAAACCATAATCAATTTCTGTTGGTATGCTTCTCCTGAACAATAAATCAAATTTAGTGAAATACATGCATAGACAAAATGATGCAAGAAAGAAGCTCTTTCATTCAACATTCTATGGGAAGATAAAGTAAGATAAGTACCTTTCAACAAAGAATAACGGATTAAAGTATCAAAACAACATGCATAATTAATTATGAGCCTCATGATAATAGAAACAGTGTCAGTGAAACCCAAATTTAATGGACAACTGCAAGGTCGATATTTGATTACAGCTACAATAATCAGGAGAACAAGAATAGCTAATAGCTGTTCACAAGATCAAAGATTCAAATCATAGTGCACATGACAGAAAACTGATGGCTCAAAGTAAAAGATTATGTGGAAGACATCCATAGCCAGTCTGAGAGTCAAGAACTTGAGTAAGTAATTATTATTCAGTACAGGAATATGAAGTTATTGATATTCTGGTAGTTTATAAAAGCATCAGCAACCACCCAATTACAAGGAGGAAGTGGACAAAATAATTATTTAAATACTGAATCATCTAACATGATATTAGCACCCTGAGGTGTAATAGAAATTGGTTCCAGATTTAAAAAAGAACATATATGAGACAGGATGTGTTCCTCAAATTAGTGTCTACACGACTGGAAAACCAGTGACACTAGCAAACAGTTCGTCATTAACAGCCTAAATAAAATGATCAATTATAGCTCACAACCAAGCTACAGGATTACTCTTCAAATCAGAGTAAGGCCTCCAATGACTCTGTAGAAGATTCAACATTACTGAAAGTATTTATATCAAAATTAGCATTGACTTCTGAATTCAAAGACATTCTGAACTTTAGTCTCATGTTTGTTGAAAACATGAGAACAACTCAACACATTTTTTAGTATTTCAGGGGTAAGCTTGCATGTTTTGAATTTAAAGGTAAAGTTTGTAAAATGACAGACTTTATATATATATATATACATGTGTGACAGTGAGGTTTTATTTGAAACAAAGATTACTGGAATCACCTCTAATTATTGTCATAGCTACTTGAAAAACACTTACCATAAATCCTACAGCAAGAAGTGTGTGGAAAAGCAAGATCAACAACAAAACCAGTATGGCTACCTATTTAAAAAAAGTGTTAATATAATTTACATTAGCAACACACTTTTAACAAGTATACAATAAGACTGTAGCATCTACTGCTTAATTTCTGTAGTTGTTAAATACATGGACACTGTCTACTTTTGAATCATTTCATTTGTTTTCAACAAATATATTTCTTACCTAAGGAATTTAGTGTTTTCCTATAAATTTTAGTTTTGTCACCGTAGATATTACTCTTAATAAATGTTTTCCTCTTCAGCTCTCATAATCAAAAACAAAGTTTGTTCAAATTAAATTCCAAGAGTAACATACTTTACGATAAGATCTTTAATAAAATCTTTCAACTATTTAACACACTCAACAACAAAGTTTTTAGATAATGTCACTAATAAGCAGCTAAAACAAGGTTAGAATATAACTAACTGCAATGTTCCATTGACTTAACATCTTCAGGATGAGAGTGGTTGAAATAAGACAAATACTAATATACCAACAAGGTTCATGTATCAAATGACACCATCAAACTAAGACAATTAAAATAAGAGGTGTAATTGTTAATAAATGGTCTTCAAGATTCAGTAAGACAAGTTTCTTAATGTTAACATTCTCTAACACTGAAAATGTATTTCCGATATGTACATCCTGTCACCCAAAGCTATCTCAATCTGATTTGCCCTCTAAGCATTGCTAATATTTTCCAACAGTGCACCAGTCATTTATACCCCTTCATTTTTGCACCATTGCAGCAACATGTGCTGATCAGGTGACTACCCTCCACCAATCATACTGTGCCACCTATACTAGCACAGGTAGCTCCCTCTACCATGGCAGCACAACCCTCACTTTGGAGAATTGGTAGATACAAGCTAGAAACACTGGCAAATCAGTGGGGAGGAAGAGCGGGAAGTGAGAAGAGGAGGTAAGTACCTATCGGAAATACATTTTCAGGGTTAGAAAATGTTAACTTCTGCAATGGTACTATCTCCTCTCGCCCAAAGCTAGAATCCCATATTGCAAAAGTGAAAGAGCCAGTGAAGGCTCAAAAGTAATCAAACAAGCAGAGAATAACCACCATGAAAGAACAGGTGTGCCACAATTATAAAAGGAGGCACACCTGTGGGGTATAGCATTAGTTCTGGAACAGGTATGCTCTTTGCCCAGTAAGAAACAAAGTATGACACATAGGGTGAAACTCCAGACAGGCACCATGTCAGGTAATACAGATTCTGCCCATGGACAACAAATAGTATGTAAGGTGTCCACATATGTAACAAGCGTGAGCACGATACATTCATAGATTTGAAGGAGGAATCAGATATAAGAATAAGTGGCTAAAGGATCGTTAGTGTATATGAATAGGCTAAGTGCAGTTCGCACTGGCAAAAAAACATCCAGGGGAAATGCCTTGGGATACATCAGATTATGTCAAGTGCAGTCCATATGGTCAAAAACAACAGTGAAAGCACCTTGCATACGCTTGTAAGATCAACAAGTGTAGTCCACCCAGACAAAAAACATTTAGGGGAAGCACCTTGGACATACATTGTGACAGCCAAGTGTGGTCAGCCCGGACAAAATATCCAAGGGGAAGCACCTTGGTATACATTATGACAGCCAAGTGTGGTCAGCCCGGACAAAATATCCAAGGGGAAGCACCTTGGTATACATCAGATTTTGTCAAGTGCAGTCCATCTGGGCAGAAAACATTCAGCAGAAGCACCTTGCATAAGGTCTTACTTTTCAAATTTTGTTCATAACTGATATTGTGAACAACAAGTGTTGTCAGCCCAGGGAAAAACATGCGGGTGAAATTATGGAGTATGTCAAGTGCGGTTTGCCCAGACAAAAAAAACATCCAGGAGAAGCACTTTGTGATATGATGTAGTATGATAAGTACAGTCCATCTGGGTAGAAAAACATCCAGGAGAAGCACCTTGTGATATGATGTAGTACGGTAAGTGCAGGCCATCTGGGTAGAAAAACATCCAGGGGAAGCACCTTGTGATATGATGTAGTATGATAAGTACAGTCCATCTGGGTAGAAAAACATCCAGGGGAAATACACTTGTAGATATGTATGTAGTATGTATAGTCGACAGTACATCGTAGGACAAGAAAACTGTACGAAGGGAACGCTACTGTAGATAGTGTATG